GATACCAAGAAGGGGAACAGAATGGGTCAGTGCACTGTAGTTTCTCTGCTCTAGTGGCTTACTTAGCCTTTTACCCTAATTGTGTGTCAAGGACATAAGGCAATACAAACACAAAGCAAAACAGTACGGAGAAAACTTGGGACATCACTAGAAGAAAGTCACTAAGTTTTTGAGAGTTCAGGGTACAGAAAACTGAACAAGGTGGATGTGGTGGCACATGCCTATAATCCCAGTACTCAGAAGGCTAAGTCAGGAGGATCGCTGTGAGTTCAAAGCCAGCCTGAACTGCACAGTGGGACACTGTCTCAAAAAGACGAAAGGAAGGAAGGCAGGCAGGCAGGCAGGCAGGCAGGAAGGCAGGCAGGCAGGGAACTTGAACAATCAGTATTACAGCTTCAAATTCAATATAATATATTTGATACTCTTATTATCTCCTAAACTCAAACTCATTATTATATAAATATACTAATTATTATTCTGAAAGATACATTTAAATTTTAGTTCTTCTAATTTGAAAACTTAAATGAAAATAATAACTAATTGAATGCTGTATAATTCAATTAGTATAAATATACTGATATTATTTTACATGTATGTTATGGTACCAAAACACAAGGTGACACATAAAAATGTCACACTCCTTCTCTCATCCCTGCCTCAGGGAGAGCCACCACGAAGTAGGCAAGGGCCCTTCCAGATTTGGAAAATGATTTTATAATGACTAGAATAATTGAGCTCGACACCCTACTACAGAGAGGTTTTAATTTTCATTTGATAAATACACCCCAGAGTCAAATTCAAAAACATGCCAATATTAAGCAAACAGACACTTCAGAATAGCTGCCTTATTCTGAGAGGAAAAAAGTACTTCTAAAAAAATGCCAGTGAGTATCAGCAGAGCCTATTTCCTCTTAAATATTTTCAAAGATTTCATGTGAAAGTTCCTGGGGGTCAACTCAAGGCTTCTCTATTCCTTTGTTTTGCTGCAGAGGAACCATAATGGCTATTTTTTGTCTGATCAAAACAATGAAAATTACACTTCTTGAATGCGCAGAGTGTGCCTTTTATTAAATCAGTAGATTTTTTTCTAAGATGAGTATCCAAGTGCTACATGGATGCCTATCCATCAAGAAGCCACTTTCTATTGAACTAAAGAAGAAAATGAGGAGATAAAAATTACTCCCATGTTACTTATTTGGAGAGATCATTTAACCTGCAACCAAGAACGGAATCTAACATTTGCAGCTTAGGAGTTCATGGGATGCACATGTGTTCTCGGACTCAAACACATGTTTCCACTTAAACTGCTGGAATGTATATATGGCTCCACAAAGGGTGATAAATATTAGCAAATCTTCTAAGAATGAAAACTCCGTGCGACCATACATATCGCATTTTGATTCAGCTTTTAAAATGTCTTGACTTGCACAAAGCTAAACAGTCTGCTTTTTACATTTTCAAGTTAAAAAACAACGAAGAAGAAAAACCCAAAGATAGCAGCTATGTGTACCACCACAACGAACCTGAAGCAAATCTAGGGTTCCACTCCTCTGTCTCCTCTCTTCTTGCCCTTGTTGGCAAGCTCATCCCAGCTAACTGTCCAGGTAGTGAGTGTAACTCGGATCCTAACCAATGTCTAATAACACCACGCCAGGGACTTCAGCCATAGCTTCAGCTGCATGGACCTAAAGCATGGGTAAGAAACTACACTGGTCTGGCACATTCTATTTGTAAAGCAAAGCATTAGCACTGTCGATTATTTTAATTTAAATCCCTTTAGGAACAGTATCTCCATACAAAAAACTACTTCCATACACAGGACAACATGCCTCACCTATCACTCTGAACCCCTCACAAGTCATGAGCCAGTAAGTGTCTGAAATGAGTTCATCTACCTTGAGCTCTCCTATGTTTTATGTCTTTGTATAGAATGTCTTTTCCCAGGCACTCAAACTTTCTCCTTCACATGGCTAACTTCAATTCTTTCAAAGACCTCAAGAAGCCCTTGCTAATTTCCTGCAAGCCCAGGCAAATGCTTAACCCTCTGTGGCCCCAGAGTCTCCACTTATGTGACTGTATGACCAAGCATCACATACTCCTTTCAGGCAGAAACCATGCCTGGGTCATTTTTGTCTCTTCTGTGTGTATAGCACATAGGAGGTGGTAAATGAGCCTTTCTAAAATGAAGAAATGGCAATGTGAATATCACCTCTTGACAGCATTTGAATACTCTCAATTTCACTGAAAGGAAATACAGAGGAATATTGAAGTTGATGAAAGAAAGAAAGAAAGAAGAAAAAAAGAGAAAGAGAGAGAGAGAAAGACAAAGACAAAGAGAAAGAGAAAGAAAGAGAAAGGAAGGGGGAGGGGAGGGGAGGGAAGGAGAGGGGAGGAGAGGAGAGGAGAGGAGAGGAGAGGAGAGGAGAGGAAAATGGAGTGGGAGGGAGGCAGGAGGAAAGAAAGAGAAAGACAAGATTTTTAAAACGCCATCCCTGCTCCACACCTGTGTTTTCCAAAGGAAATGATGACCCTGTGTCATAGCTACTTCCTCCACTGCTGGGAAAAATACCTAACACCCACAATGTTAGAAAGGACAGATTTACTTTGCCTCACATTTCAGTCAATAGTCAGCTGGCTCCAAAGCAGGATAGCATGGCAGAGGGGCCTGGTGGAGGAGAGCTGCTCCTGGCATGGGAGATAGGAAGCAGAGAGAAAAGAGGGGAGCTGGGAGAGACACACCCTTCTGAGCCACGCCCTGTGATCTAAATGTTCTCTATCCAACAGCAAGCCAGCCTGTCTTAGTTTCTTTTCTCTCACTGCTGACCCCCAAAATAAAGGAAGGAAAGGTTTATTTAGCTTACAGTTTGTGGAGGTTTCAGTCCATACTCGGCTGGCTACAAGGCAGGGTGGCAGAGGGCAACCAAGGAGGCACAACACAGCAAAAGCAACAAGCACAAAAGGGAGGAATGGCCACAAGCAGCCTCTTCCTTTCCCTGACATATGCAAACTATCCACCCCAGGGTGGGTGTAGTCTCACACCCATAATCAATCAAACTCTAAAAGCCTGCCCCATGACCGCATGAGGCTTTGGGGGGACACCCAGACACAAACCATAACACAGCCACACATATCACCATATCCAATTACTTCCCAAAATCCCCACCTGTAGCCACATGAGACTTCAGGGGGATACCAAGATGTAAACCATAAAATTCTTCCCCTGGCCCCCAAAAGACTCATGCACATCTCTTTTTGCTTTTGAGTGAATTTCTTATTTTTATTAGTATGTGTGTGCAGTACATAATTACACTTATTGTGGGGAGCTGGTACACAACACACCTTAATCTTTTCTTCATCCTCTGTCCTACACATTCCTCCCTGGTCCATCTCTTGATCCCCTTTGCATGTGAAAAAGATTTTTCTCTTTCCTATTATCTATCTTTTATTTTATTCTTTATTTATATTTTTTGTTTCTCATGTAAGAGAAACCATGTGACATTTAAGCTTGTGTTTCTAATTTATGTAACTTAATGTTATAGTCTCAAAATGCATCCATTTATCTTCTGACTGCCTCAAGTGGATCCTTCTTGATGAAAAAGTAGCACTCCAGTGTGTATAAATACCAAATTTTCTTTATCTACTCATCTGTTGATGGGTATATAGGTTGTTTCCAAGATTTAGCCATTATAAACTGTACTGCTATAAATGTGAGCATGTGTGTATTACTGTAACATGCAAAATGCATTTAGTTCATCTCTAAGAGTTGCTGAAGTCCCAGCCCTGCTGAAAGTCCAAGTCCAAAGTCTCCGCTGAGACTTAAGGCAAACTCTTAGCTTGAGTCTCTATAAAAATCAAAAAGAAAGTGACCTGTCTCCTTAGCCAGACCCTGCTTCCCAACAGCAAGCCACCTAGAACACCCACAGAATCCAATCACCTCCCCAAACCCCCACCTATGATCTTATTAGGCTTGGGGGAAAGAACATCTAGATATAAACCCTGACACCACCCAAGCAGCAATGAACCTCATCTACAGCCATAGCTTCCTTTCCTATAGCTCAGCTGTGTGGCTGCTCCTCCACACGTGCTTCCTGGATCCCTATGAAAACAAACACAGTAAACCCAGCGGAACAAAAGAAAGGAGATACGCACTCAAAGCAATCTTTCTGAAAGGACAGTATCTACTTTTGTACGAAACACTCATTTTGAGAAAAAAACAACCGTTATAATTTCTTATCATCGTTTTTCAGTCGCCTTCAGCTCACGTTTCCCTTTGCTGGCCCCACTGCCCTCATTGACAGTTAGGACTTGCAGCAGCAGCAGGGACAGAATGGGTGTGGTGACCAAGTGTGGACAACAAGGTGTCAAGGGCATCTTTTCCTTAATCAAAAGAACTATTACAGTGAAAGACACACTGGCAGTAATCCCCCTCAAAATACTCTTCCTCATCACAAACACACTTATCCCATCATTCTCGCCACTTCCTGAAGCAATTCTGGAAGTCCTCCTTCATGAATATCTTTAGATGCACTGGCATATCTGCCCTGATGCTCTGAACTGATTCAAAATATTTCATCTTTTATAAACTATACCTCCCTGTCCATCATCGTGCCTACCAGAAATAGGAAGTACTATGAGGGATTCCTCCTGACCTCCCAAGTCAGGCAATTTTGGGGGAAAGGAGGAAATACAGGATAGTAATAAAAGCGTATCAAGAGGAAAGTGCTGTGCTGGTTTCTATGTAAGAAACTAACCTGACAGCCTCTCTGCCTCCTTGTTTTCAAATAAAACCTTCAATAGACTGCTCTGGAAGGAACCTTCTTAGAATGGACAGTACCAAGCAGTAGCATCTCACCCTTTCCTTCCTTGACTACTTCCAGTTAAATCACCAAAACCTATTTTTCTTAGGCATGGGGAGCTCTCAAGAGACCTCTGGTGCAGCTGGTGAAACTGGGATATTTTCCAACTTATTCCCACCCAGAGCAACAGTAAAACACACTTACCTTTTGAAAAAAGTCTTCCCCACTTCTGCCTTTTCCTTCAGCTGCAGCTGTAAATAAAAATGCATGCAATTAAAATAGTTTCTTTTCAAATGATGCATTCAAAAAACTCAACTACCATGTATGAGGACATGAAGGAAAACAGGAGGCCACCCTTGCTCCCCTAAAGCTCAACATGTCATCTGGAAACCAAACTCAGTAAAGAATAAAACACTAATTCCAATCAACTATACATCTTTTGATTATGTAAAGACTCTGAAAGATGTATGATTCTCCGTTTCCACATGGACATAAAAGGGACCTCACCCTTTCATAGTGAAGAAACTATATGAATAAATACAATGATCAAAGTAATCAGCTACAGGGCTTCACTCACTTCCCATCTGTAAGCAATCCCAGACACGAAGCTGCCTTGTCCACAGGGGATTCTTTCAGCAGGTCAGTATTCAGTCAGTTCAGCTTTTATTGCAATGACTAATGTACATGGATTATAGCTGATATACTGTGCTACCTAATTTACTCTTTTATTCACATATACAAAGACAAAAAGTGATGAGAATTAGATACTAATCATGGTGAAAGTCATGGCCAACAATAAACTTCATGTGACCTTAAAAGGTTAATGTGAACATCATTTCTGTATCTAAAGAGTAGCCTAGAAGTACAGAACAAATCCATTTTTCTGCCTCTGTTCAAAAAAACCTTGCGACTGGATAGATTTATTCATTTGTGGTAAGGGAAAGAGAATTTAACTACAAGGAGGGATGAGACGTAGTGTCAACAGCATCTTGAATGCAACAGTTTCAGACTACATCATTACAAGGACAAATACCCACCAGGATTCTGATTTGGGTGCAGGGCAGCACAGCAGTTAACTGGACAAGTTAGCCCTCACCCTGGCAAGGGCAAAGAAAGAGCTGAGGAAAGAACTCCTGCAAAATGAAGTCTAGAAGACCATGGTAACCCCAACACTTGCCACACAATATTACCATAGAACAGTGCGTGTGTCTGCGTATGTGTGTTCATACTACTTCTTGCAATGCTTAACACCCAAGAATTGGGGCAGATTAATCACTCAGTCATATTTGTTGCATTGTAAGCTTTGACAAGTAACTACTATTAAATCTGACATTATGTTAAGTAAAGAATTTAAAATTCAGACAAATCAACTCTGCGTTCAAAGAAGTAACATATTAAAATTTAAATTCTTTTTTCACCAACTCAAATGTAATGTGAAACATAAGACTATTTTCTAATTTTATAAAAATACACTTTTATCACACATTTACATTAAAAGAAGAGTACAGAATATGTATTTCTGGGATTTCCAAAGTCACTTGGAAGAAATCTATGAAAGTAAAAGCCTAAATATTCAAAATTTAAAAACTTCTCTTCTAATGTGTGGTAGGGCTGGATAATGGCCCTACCACATGGCCCAATCCATGGCCCAATACCTGGCACCAGTGAATTCATTGCAATCCCACATGGCAAGAAGGGATTGTACAGATGTGATTAAGTTAAGGATCTCACGATGGAAAGATGGTCCCAAATTATCCAGTTGGCCCCAATGTAATCATGTCCTTACAAAACAAGGAAGTCAGAGATGTCAATGAGGAAGTCAGATTAAAAGGCGTATGACAGCAAAAGCAGAGATGAGGGAAGAGAAAGACTTGAAGATGGAGGAAATTCTCAGAAGCTAAGAAATACAGGTGACCTCCAGCAGCTGGAAAAGATAAAGAAATGTAATACTGCCTACAGCCTCTAAAGGCTGCCAACACTGCTAGCACCCTGATTCCAGCTCAGCGAAACTCATTTCAGATTTCTGATCTCCAGACCTCTATGACAATAAATTTACACCGTGTTTATCCACTAGATTTGTGATAATCTGTTACAACAGAAAAAGGAAACTAAGCTCTAATGTCCATATCTTTTTAACTTCACTTTTTGCACAAATTCCACGCAACCACGCGTGTTTTCCACGCAAAACATAACCTTAGCCCAGATACTTCCTGTGGGTCATTTAATTCATACATTTACACAAATAAATTCTTTGTTTTTGATAAGCTATGATTAATCTCTAACCTGGACATATATCAATATTAAAGCTTTAAGAACTTAAAATGAAAAAATAATCAGTTCAGCATAGTTCTGGATGTGGACAACGGACTTGCTGGGGAGGAAAGACCCACCCTGGGTGTGAGGGGCACCAACCAACAGGTTTTAGCCTGACTGGAATGCAAACAGAAAGAAGGAAACTCTACTGCCTCCTGCCTGCCCTGCCACAGACTACTGCTCCTCTGCCATGGCACCCCACCTTGGAGCTAGCTGACTACAGAATGAAACCTCTACAACCTGTGAGCTAAATAAACCTCTCCTCCTTTAACCTGTAGGCTCTGGGTATTTTGTCCCAGCAACAAGAATGCTGCTGACTACAAGGTCATCAGCATGACAGAGCCGGGGCTGCTTTCTGAGACCACCAAGATGCTCCAAGCCAAGGAAACATCCAGCTACTCTCAGTTGAACACGCTCACGATGGCTTCCCTTCCACTCTGCGAGCCCAGGAACCAAGGCACAGGGCTGCAGACTGAGCTCAAAGGGATGCTCCTCATCAGCTGAGGACATGATATCCCTCTATAGTTCTGTCATGCCAACTACTAAAGAAAATCACTCTCGCTGCTGGAAGTATGTCAGGGTGGCAGAAGTACACAGTGGGAGTCTGCAGATCCGCTCTGTCCCTGATATGCAGAAGTCGGTGGCGGAAAATAGTCTTCTGGTGTCACTCGCTTACAAGCTTTCTGAGTAAGAACCCTCCCAATCCTACCGAGTAGGGGTTTATGTGAATTATTACAATGTTTCAAAGAAGCCAACACTCTGGACGCCCAGCAAACCCATCCCTGTGAGGATGAGAAAGGGCTGTAGCTGTTGCAGACCAAAGACATTCATCTCTTCCAAATGAAATGGCCCACAGCAGCTTCTAGGTGAGCGTTACACTCAATGTGCTTAGGGTTACTGAAACTCAGTTTTCTGTTATTCTAGCTTGCAGATAATCATATTTCTTAAATGTACAATTACATTTTTTTAAAAAATTAAATAAAATGCTAATTTTAAAGATGCACAAAATAATACAGTTCTTTTTTACTCCACCAACACTTGGGGCCTACATGAATGAACAGAAATAAGCATTTAACTTACACAGTCCTGACCCTTATGATATTCAAAGCCACCCAACTAGTAAAACAAAACCAAAATTAAAATGCAGTTCTGACAAGTTTTTCAGTGAGCTTTTCACAGTCACAACTCAATCCAAATTAAACTTATTATAAATTTATTTTAGCTATTCTCATTCTGGACAATGCACTAAAAATCTAGTCACTTCACTCTTGACCCAACAGGAGAGGTGGACAGCTACTGTTAAACCTGAAAAATAAAGGCTAGATCAAGGATCTTTAGAGAACTGATTGCACAAAAAAAAAAAAAAAAATTAAAAAAATGAAGTATGCTAATATCTTGACTCAAGTCATTTCCTTTTCATTATGTTTGGATGGCAAAATGCTGCCTGTAAAATAAGCCAAGCTACACAGTACAACTATATCATGTATTCTTTGACTTCTGAAGTCTGATTATCATCTGTAGTAAAATAGTTCTATCAAGTCTTTGCAATTTTGTACACTAATACCCACTCATCTCCTTTATTCTACAATAACATGAACACACATGATGATTTAGCAGGCTTTTTAAGAGGATCTTTACAATATCACTTCTGTCTAGTGTTCCAAAGTTTATTCATTCAAGGGTAATAAGCCCTGGATTATTCCTGCCAATGAAAGCAATTGTCTTTATTTTCATGACACAGAACTCCAGGAATAAATTATTTCAATACTACTGAAACATGGCTGGCTAAATGTGCAGGTAAAGTATTTCCTACCTTAAGCTGTATAATTCATTTTTTTATGTTTATTATAATTTCTCCAGTGCTTGGCATATTTTATTTCACATTTTTGCTTCACAAGAAATATGGGATAGCAAAAGCCACCGCCAATAAAAACAGCCAAAGTTGAAACAGGTGTAAACTATTACAGTGCCCCAGACTATAGGTCATGTCCAGCTAATTAGTGAATTAAGGAGGGTGGGGTAGGCTCCATGTCAAACTCTCCCTAGGTACACAGAAACTTGTTTAAATTTCTCTTTTTGTTTTTGAAATGCTTCTCTATCCTAACGTGATGCTTTATGAAGCTAAATCTAAAAGCACAAGAATGATGTTCTTAATTCAAAAGATAGTATGAAATATTTTTAAACTTTACCTTGACAAACTATGGGCTGTTCTCTCCTTATGGAATTTCAGCAAAAGAAGTTTAAATTATAAGTAATGATGGAGAAATAATTCTTCACTCAGGGGATTCTTCTTTCCTTTTAATACGACTACTGTAACAATTTGCTTTTCTTCCACCTTTTTAATACAATATTTGTCTTCCCTCTGTCAAACCAAGACCCAAACTTTTTACCTAGCCCTCCTGGAAAAGTATACAAAAGGAAAACACAGGGCAGATGAAACAAGGGAGAAAGAACTATGGGAGATGAAGACAGCTGCTCTACAGCGAAAGAGGATGAAAAAGGCCACCATCACCCAAAAGAACCCATGACCTCTAAGAGGCAAAGCCCAGAACTGTGTAGGAGAAGAGCTTTTGCTTCAAAGAAGGGTTCCTGGAATAGCTGTTCCGTTAGGTCACCTGACAGATCAATGTACCCATTCAGGTAGCTTGAGTCTCTTGTACAATATTTTACTCAAAATGTAGTGTTCACGCACTGCATCGGTTCAATCCATAGCTAAAACAGCTATGCCATGTATTTTATTTTGTTTGTTTTTGTTTTGTCTTTTTCCAGTACCAGGAATCAAACTCACGACCTCGCACTTGCCAGGCAGGTGCTGTGCCGCTAAGCTAAATCCCCAGCCCCTGTGTATTATTTTATATATTAAATGCATCCATAAAACTGCCCTGACACCTTGGCTAGTGCTACTGAAAAAGGAATCAGGAAGTTGCAGAGGATACAG